GTTTTTGAAAACACACTGTGTGCCTAGTACTTTGCTAGATTTTGGAAATCCAAAGAGATAAACACGTCCCTACCTCCAGAAGCTCACATTTTAGAATGGATTCGAAAGAGGCAAACCATTATTAAATAATATGCTGTGTATTATAATGGGGCTATCTGCTAAGTGCTGTGCGGCCAGCCATCAAGAGTTTTACCAAGGGCGGGGAGGTGGGCGGGGAAAGCTTCACTGACAAATAAGTAGGAATGTTCCAGGAAGACCTAGCAGAGCTAACAGAAAGGAATAAGAAAGAGTATAATGATGTGGGACAGAAGAAAGGACTAACAGAGTATCTGCCATGTTTACACACTGTGCTGCTTATTTTTACAACCTTATCTCACAAGTCATTATGATCATCCTACAACCTAGGTATTCCCATTGCCATTTTACAGATGAGCAAACGGGTCTGGAGAGATCCGCTTAGGGCCACAGCTAGTGGATGTTGAGCTGGAATTGGAGCCCTGGGCTGGCCTGGAGTCCTGGCTTGAAGCCCATAGACTATCTTTAGCACCCCTCCGCACGTGCAGGAGCGAAGGCGGGGTGAAGAGGGAAGGAGCTCACGCTTGCTGCATGGATGAAGAACGTGCAGGCTTATGAGAAAAGTAAAGACTTAAGATACTAAGGGCAAAAAGAGAAGGGTACCAGGTAAGGATGAGAAGATGATGATACGGAGCAGAGTTGAAGGCCCAGTACGTGCCAGAAACCATCATTTTGTAGTGATGGTATTTGATGTGGACATGAGACTTTTCTTCAGCCAGATTTAGCAGTCTAAGAAAAGGATTCTCTATGGTAACTCTCCCGCCATTTTAAAACCAGCCAATTTCCTTGAGAATTTACTTTGTTGATTGCTATAGTGCTGTTATGCATATGCCTGGAAATATTTAAATCAAATTATTCATGCATTGTTACAGTCAAAGGGAGTGCAGTGAAAACTATGCTTTTTGGCAGTTTTGACAAATATAGCATAAGGTCATGAATCTTAAATACTTAAATATTATTGATCAATATCACTTAAATTTGTCATATACCTGTATATCATCTTTGTTTTCCATGGTGACCATGATGAAATTGTTAAAAACCGAATTTACAAATTTGATGTAAATACAGTGTTTTCTTTTTTCCTTGTATAGACCACTATTCCCAAACATTAATCTGAACCAGTCATAAAAGAATTCATTGGTGGCACCTTCAACTGGTTTCTAACTGATTTATTTTTTAGGTATATATGTGCACATACTTCTAGAAAGATCAGCTTGTTCTAAGTATGTGCTAGCCTAATTTCGTATAGCACCACACACACACCCCTCTGAGAATTTATTTAGCTCTTCTGCAGGCCTAGAAAATGTTAGCTACTTTTCGAACCCATAAAGTCTGATTCTTCAAAGAAAATGTTTCAAAACTGAAACTGCCCAAGGCAGCCTTCAGGATATGAAAAAAAAAAACAAAAGCGAAAACCAAAAAGTACCATGTATGGTCTTCAAATTTCCCATTCACAGTCCCCTGCGTATATATGACACAGTTTTAGCTTAGGTCAGAGTACAGGTACATACACACCTTTCTTCTTAAATCACACTGCCCGATTTCATTTTCGGCACACATTCTAATTTTTCTAAGTCAAATAAATCACAGCATTTCTCTACTTCCTATAAAATCACAGATGTATCATGTCAGTCTAGTAGCGTGAGCCGTTTTAGACATTTAACCTGGTTATTGCCCAGTCGGTAGAAAATGACTGTATCTGTGGTACCACCGCTATGCCCGATCTACCGCTTTGCTTTTATATTGTCTTTTCAATGTCATTTTCGTCATTCTGTCACTGGCAATTTAGTTTTAAAGCATCATTGTTTAAAAACATTCAAAGTAAAAATTGAAGTACATCTTTGTGTTTGCCGCTGAATCAAAAGCTGTGTTGCATATATAAAAGAAACAAAATAGACCTTCTTGGCCTGAAGATACAACACTGAAGTTTAAGTAAATGTGAAATAGTGTAGTGATAAGACATATATGAAACTTTTTTCAACAGAAATGAAAGAGATGTTGATGGAATTATCTATTTACAGTTATGACAAATGAACCATGGACTGTCAGATGTTATTCTACTTTTAAAAACTAAATTCAGATAAAGATTTGGTCAGGAGTTCTGTGTGAACTACTTGCTCAGATTTTAAGTTGACTGTCTTGTATTGCCTGTTTTCTATATTTTCAATTAGATAGTTTATTTTCCCTGTTTGGGTCATTTATATATGTGGAGGGCTGGGGGAACTTGTTTTAGAACTCTAAATCTGTGTCTGAAAAAATTAAAAACACAAACCAATGACTTTTTAGTGAATGAAAAAAATGTTAGGTAGCACATACATATTATTTTTTTCTTTCCAGGAAGCAAATCATATTCTGGGCCAGTTGAAGTTTTAACTTAATTACTTATATATAACAGCCTTAGCATTTCTATAGAAAACTTTATGAGAAGGACCTTTATTCTTATTTCAGAGTACAGAATCTGGTTGTGTAGAACATACGATATTTTTTTAAAATTTCAAGTTGGGGTCAACTTCCAAATAATATATTTTTGTTTGTTATCAACTGTTGATGCTGAAATAGTATAAACTGTTTCAGTATCAAGTTAATTCAGAATACATTAAAGAGGTAAATCAGGTACAACCCCCTTCCAATAAGGAATTTTAATTCCAGTAAAGAAATGAGTGTTTGATTAGCTGTGCTATACTTTGGCTTCTCAGTGGGGGTAATCAAGATTTGATTGTATAGTTTTTGGTCATTGACTCAACATCCTTCTTTTACTCCAGTGACCCACCTAACTTGGGTTTGTTTTTGTTGTTTTAAAAGGTCTCAAGGCCTTTTTTTGTTATCTTTCTATAAAGTTAGTCTTTAGAAATAGAGGATAGTTCTAGAATCAACATTATTTTTCTTGTTGTATTTTTGAATGAGTGAAAAATGAAATATGTATGCCAGGTCTTCCGATGTGCTCTGGGGCTCAAAGGTGAATGAGATACTCTCCCAGGTGTTAGTGAGCTTGTTTGTTTGCTTGTTTGTTTGTTTCAGGGGTCCTTATGTTGGGGCTTGTGGGTGCAAGGATCACATGGAAACCCATGAACCCCCTCAAATTATATACAAAATATTTGTGGTATATATATATTTGTGGTTTTATGGGGTGATGGTCTATAGAGTTCATCATATTTTTAAAAGGCTCTTAATATCTACAAAAGCTAAAGGAGACAGAACACTAAGCTATAATTCAGTGCAGTAAATGTTGTAATTGGATAAAAATAAAGATCTTTGGGAGATTAGTATAAACATGGAGGCCCACTATGTTCAAGGCCCTACATAGGACTCACGTGATGTAAACCTTTGCCTTGTTTCATGCTCCTCCTCTCTCGTACATGGAACAGTGATGTTTCTATCAGTGAGGGTCCTGGTGGTAACAGATGATGGCTTTTTTGAAGCTGGTTTAATGAATGGACTATTTGCAGAGATGTGGGCATGGTATAACTAAAAAGAGATGATGAATCTCTCAGGGAACAGCAGCAATTGGAAACTGTTATCCACCCAGGCAAAGGGGTGTTCCCTTGCAGAACTTGAAGCTGATGGCTGCAGGGCTTTTTGGTTTTAGAAATTCATTCATTTCAGCCCCCTATCTTGCAACTTATGCTACAATATGAAATGAATCCATTTTGTTTCCTAGTGAGATTATTCTAGCTTTAAATTTTTTTTTCTTTTTCTTTCTTTTTTTTTTTGCTGGATCTTAGACATTTACCTCTCACACTACTAATCAGACGAAAACATTTCTCTGGTGTCTCTCCTTAATTCTGCATCCATCAAAATGTAAATTGGCTGCAAGTGCCTGAAAACTGAACATAACGGTGTTGACTTAGGACAGGATTTTATTTTTACCTCATGCAGATGAAGGCAGTCCAGAGTCCTCTGGCAGGTCCACAGTCACAGACACAGTCTCTTTTCGTCTCATTTTTCTTCCTTTTTTTATCCAAGATGGCTGCTCCAGGTATAAGGTCTACAGTCCGGCCATCGGGAAAGAGGGATGGAAAGGAAGAAAGATGGTCACCCACTTCCCCGAACGACTTGCCGGACGTGACACACACCACTCTGCTTATGTCCTATAACCTGACACCTGGTTAACCATACCTAATACGTGTCAGGCTGAAAATAGGAATTCCACAGAAGAAAGGGAGCATGCATGTTGGGCAGCCATTGATCTCCGCTGCATAAACCTTTTTCTGTTGCGAGTTACATGCTTTCCTGAAGTGCTTAGGGAGAAAAGCATAGAAAAATATGGAGCACATACCAATTTAAAATAGAGTTTTCTTAGACTGAGTTCATAACCTTAGATTCTGAATGCTTGGCTCTAGTTTTAAAATTTTTACATTGTTCTAGAAAGGTAGAAATAAACTAGCTTTTAAATGATCTATCATTAGTTAGTCACCTAATTTGGGTGTGTTTTTGTTGTTTTTAAAGGTTGTAAGGCTTTTTGTGTTTATCTTCGATATAGTTTTTGGAAGTTTGACTGATTTGCTAAATATGCATCTAACATTGTACCGAGTTTTTACATATAGCAAATACCATTGCGTATGGCAAGTATAATGGAGGAGGGAATATGTGCCTTTTATCTGCATGGAAGATTAATATGTTAAACCCACTAAGAATAGTCTGTAGGAAACATTTTAGCAATAGGTAACATAAAAGCTCTTGGTTAGAATGAATTCAAATATATAGAAATTAAATGAAAACCTAGAATTATTCTAGTTCACTGAAAATTAACCGACATGGTGCACAGCAGATGCAATCCCATACACAGGGCAGCTTTTCTAAGTTCTATTCTCAGCAGATCTTGAAGAAAATCTAGGACTTATCGTAATTATTCACATTATTAAAAAATATTTACTTTTAAAGCCCATCGTGCAACACTCTGTGTGATCATCTTTTTCCCTCCATAGGCCAGAAGCTTGATTGCCGTGGGACTGGGTGTTGCAGCTTTTGCGTTTGCAGGTAAGATGGATAAAGGACACATGTCAACAGATGTTGCATGAGAAATATTTCCAGGTCGCTCCCGTAGTGATTCATAAGCAGACTCAGTATTCTGGAGGTTTTGGTTTTCAGACATCACGCCACCCTATTCTTCCCTTCTCCCCACCACTTACAAGCACTGAACATTTGTCAGTGTAGCAAAATCTAGACAAACTCTGTGGTGAAGAGAAGTAACGATACAGAAGCAAGGAAAACTAGCCCTGGTAACAGTGGATCTTCCTGGCAATATTTTAGTTTGAGCTATAAGTTAAAAAGTCTTTAATATGAAGCAATCAATGATATGGGGTTCCTTTATTCTCCCATATTTATTTTTTTGCTTGCAGCCAGGATGACACATTTCCTGAGCTGTCACTTATTTCTAATGAGAATAATCGTCCCCTGTAGGGTATTTATTACTTCATTTTTAACATGTTAGTGTTATAATGTCCTTGAGAAACTGCCAAAATTACCTTTTTAGAAAGAATAGTTATGAAGCTTTAAAGAAAAATTGCTCTCTCTTCAACTTATAGCTTAGAGACATCAACTTATAGTTTTAAATTGCATAGCTATCCCGTAGTTAATATTAGTTTGAGAGCATTTCCTTGTTAAAAATTTACATTTTTAGTTTTAGTATTCGTGTCCCTAAGTTCCATGGATTTGATCTCGTTAACGGGATCTTCTTTTTAGGTGAAACTACATTCCATTGTGGTTATGTGGAGTTTAGTAAGATCCAATAAAAAAGTGAGCAAAAAAAGGCTTTTGTTTGGCACAGTATTTAATTTCATACAAAGCTCGTGTAAACAACTTTAATAATAAGAACCTTAAAATCAAGATCAGAGGTTCAGATTCTTGGTCTTTGTGCCATCCAGACCTTGTGTCTCATTATATAATTTATAGCTAACTAATTACTGAAGTTTCATGAGAAGAATATCATGTCTGAATAGGAATTCTGACAAACTTGCCGCAGAACCGTAAAACAATTTTAGTATTAATTGTTATAGCAGAATAGGCATAGTTATTTCAAATTCAAATGTAAGGTTTTTATTTGAAATTAGAGAAAGATGTCCTTTCGTCAGGGTCTTTCTAAAATGAGAATTGGTGTTTGTATTCTGTATATACCACACCGTTGCCAAATTCATTCTAACTAAAATGTTAAATAATCAGCATATATCTCTTCCAGAGCCAAATAAACGGAATAGAATTTAGGAGAAAGTACACTTAGATTTGTTGGAACTAGGTCTTCTGGCATATGGTTAAAGTAAACCTCCAGATGTCACTTCCTGAAGCTTTTAACTGCTTTTTTCATTGAGGCTGTCTGATTGTGTATGGTTTTAAAGGAATTTTGAGGTAATTTAAAAGCTATATTTTATACTATTGTAGAATCAAACGTACAATCCATCAACATTCGATTCTACAGTTGACATCTATACGATAAGAGACTTGGATGAGGTAGGGTTTTAGCCTCGCTTAATTTCACTTTATTTTGATCACAAGAGCATTTTGTCTCCTAATTAGACGGGTTACTTCACATCTTCCCATTTCTAGCATCCTGTTTATCACTGTAACAGGTTTGCACAGAAATAGTAGTGCATTTAGACAGGTGACTCCTAAAAGATCTATGTAGTTAATCTTTCCCAGTGGAAATCTTGATTTGCAAATAAGGTTATGGTTAGGAATTGAAGTCCAGAGCGTCATAGCTGGTTTTCTAGCAAGACTTTTGGGAAATGAGATACTAGTATTAATAGAAACACATTCTGATTAGGGTGCAAAAGGCGAATTAGCCAGATAATGTTTTATTGTTAAAGCAACCTAAGACCTGGTTTCCTATTGATTCTTAGTTGTCAAGAATTCAGGGCAATTTTAATTATCATTATGATACCTAAAAAAGGAAAGCGCTAAAATAAGTTTTTAGAAGAATAGTCATCCTCAGTGAGAAATTGATGACAATCTTGGTCAATATTTCCTACATAATTGCTTTTTTACTTTACAGCTAATTCGATTAAAAACACTCCTGTGTTGTATAGATCAGACACAGTGTTTGTTTTCTTTATATTTCAAAGCAATCATCACTATGAAAAGCTATACAGATCATCATTTTAGATTCATGAGTATCTTATGGTAAAGGATTTCATCTACAGTTTGTCGTGGTAGAGTGCTAGGATTTGTGTGTGAGTGTGTGTCTGTGTGACCAGTAACACTGTATCAATGTAAGACATTATATATTACATTGAAAATTTGCAACTTTATAATCACGAACTAGAACTCGATAAGTTTAGTAGCTATGATAATGATATTCAATAGATTAGAAATTTGAAAAAGTATGATTTCTGGTAAATTTTAAAATAGTTATTGAAATAACATATATAAAATAAACTATGAGTAAATACTGTGGTAAATATCTTGTGGGTGTTGTCTTTGATTATAGAAAATATATTTGCTTCTATTCCTGTTACTATTTAGGCCGCTATGCATTTCAGATCTGGAAACCTCTAGAACAAGTCATCACAGAAACTGCAAAGAAGATTTCAACTCCTGTAAGTTAAAGATGGCTTTCATTAGCTCATTTTTACCTTTGTTTATGTGACATATGTGATAGTAATTGAGAAAATGTCTTGAATTTTCAATGTTTCTAGAAGTTTTATTTATATTATCAGGGAATTTGTCTCTTTTATTGATTTAGTTTCTTTTAATTTTCTTGGTCACATTTTTATATCTAACCTTATCCCTGGTTTTGATTCTAATTATTTATTATTATCACATTCCTTTAGTAGTATTACATCAACTTGGAGGTAATTTATTTTCTTTGTTTAATTAATATTCATTCATTCACTTAGTGATTGTCCACTCTACACTAGTCCCTGTGCCAGGAGCTGGGTGTGACTGGTGAACAAAACAGACATGGTCTCTGCTCTGGTGGAGCTTACCCAAGAGTTTATTTATTCTTGAAATTTGAGCCTAGTTCCCTCGTACCACCACGCCTGGCCATGTCAAACATAAAATTATAAGATTCCAACCCTGAAACCCTATAGGGCTCATGCATTTTATCTGCCAGCACTGTAGCTACTCTGCTGAGTGGACTCTAAGTGAAGAATGAATGGTAGTAGGCATCAGGCTGCAGCGTGGTGACCGTGGTTCGTGACCACCGGAGACGCTGCAGAGGAAGCTCGCCTAAGCCGGGCAGCGTAAGCTTAGACTTCTGGGAAGTAGAAGCAAGTCTAGGATGGATCAGCTTGGCTCGCCCCAGTATGAGAAAGAATGGCTTGTTTTAGCAAAAGCAGTACAGGCTTGTGAGGCTTAATTGGCCCTAAACGATGACCTCACTTTCAAAGGATAACATAGTGACAGATAATTCAACTCAGTTTCAAAAGAACTGCAAGTGATTTTGCAGACCTATAAATGCGTGTCTCTCATTGGAGGAAGCATGTATTTATTTTGTTTTCCTATTTACAGTTTATTTGGCCGAAGTCTTAATGGGTAGTTAGCAAGCATTCATTCAGTGCACGTTTGCTAGGCGCCTGCTACATACCAGGCGTTAGTGTGAAGGGCGGTCTGTAGTCGTGAACGTGACAAAGACACTGCCTCTAGGAGCTTACGTGGTAGTGGAGACAGAGGAGTTAGTAAGCTGTGGGATCTGCTGAAGTGTGGAATACTTTCGGGAAAACTAAATGAGGGTCAGAGGTTAAAGAATGACAGCAGAGAGGAATCTGTATTAGGAGGCCGGGGAAGGCCTCTCAGAAGACGTGAACGTCGCAAGAAAGAGTCTTCCAGGCGGGGGCGGAAGGTGGGGGACACCGCAGAGGTCTCGAGGTGGAAATGAGCTGAGGTGACCGGTGGAGTACGCGGAGGGAATGGTGGTGGCATGGGCCCGGATCCCTCAGGGCCCAGCAGACTGGGGCAAAAACTACAAATTTCCCTTCCAGTGCGATGGAAGGCCTTCGGAAGGTTTTGAGCATGGGGGCAGTGTGACCTTTATTTCAGATCGTCACTCTGCCTGCCGCATAGAATATAGACTGGAATGAACCAGCGTAGAAGCTGTGAAAGCAGTTACAAGGTACTGAGACAGTCCATGTCGCAGATGACGTGGCTTGAAATAGAGTGATAGGCGTGGACACGGTGGCATAGTTCTTTAAAGGGACGCTCTGTGGACCTCTCCACATGTTTCTGCGTAGTACATGGAGAGAATTTCGGAAATCGTTTCTCTCCTGTCATGGTGATCTTCAGCAGATACATTTATCCTGTAAATAGAAGACCTCCAAGTTTTGCAGAACTACATTCTTTAACATCGTAAAGGATGAGAGAGCAAGAAAATGAGACATTTTTCCCTGTTCCATGGAGACTCACAGATCAGACAGAGCAGTTCAGGATCGTTCTGGGCATGCAGAACCCAGCACCCCAGTCTCTTAGGGAGGGGGCAGTGTCGCATGCCCCCCTCCCTTTCCCTGTGGGCTTCAAGTTCAGAAACGTGGCTGTTGAGAAATTCGGCCTTCTTTTCACAAAGTACTGCTCTTGCAGTTTGTAGCCAAACATCTTAGAATACATTTTTCAATTTTTTCTTAGTATGTTATTTGCTTCCTCTGCTTTAACATCAAATCGTTCTTAAATCTCATCTTTCTTTTTCTCATCCATTTTTTTTTTTTTTTCATTTTGCTGGAACACTGCCTAGAGTAATTTTTCACATGAGATTCATGGATGGTAAATGTTTTACGTTCTTTGTTAAATAATGTGTTTCTTTTGCGCTCACTGTTAATTATCATTTAGCGGCTGGCTCCTCGGAGCCGGGTGGAGCTGGCGCTGCAGGCGTTCAGACGCCTCGGCACCCGCGTGCTCGGAGCCTGCACCCCGCGTTCCTGCAGGCTCACGGCCAGGCTTCCTGGTGCTCCCCTTCCTCTGTGCGAAGCCTGTCCTGATTTTCTTCTGTTGTTTGGGCTTTTGGTTTTTAAGTTTGGGTGATTTTTGTTTGTTTAGCTCTGGAAATTTGGGGGATTTTCTCATTATTGATGTTCTGAATTCTGAAATTTCACAGAAATTCTCAGCGAGCCTTAATCATGTGAAATGGTCTATCTTTTGGTTTGTAAGGTTCTTTCATATTTTTTCCTTAATTATTGTTTTCCCCTATTGTCTCTTTCCTCTGCTCCTGGAACTCTCATTAGAGAGATGTTGGGCCTCTGCATCTCTCCTTCGTGTCTCTTAACATGTTCTCTCTTGTCCTCTAGCTCCGTATCATTTTATTCTCTATTCCACAGTATTTCCAGAGGTTATTTTTCTCGTCGTCAGGTTGGCCTTTAGCAATGGCCGTTCCGTTACTCAGTCCGTCCACTGAAGTATTTTATGTTGGTAATCTTTTAACATCCAAGGTTTTTTCTCATTTCTTTTTCATAGTGACTTCTTCTTTTATGGTTGAGCTGTTCCGTTGAATGTCTCTAAAGACACTGATTTCATGAAGTTCTTTCTGCTTCCTGGTTTATCCCTGTCCTCCAAGGCCGACTGTCAGCTGTTTGTCTCGGTTCTCTTCTTCCCCCTACGGTGTTGGGTTCGTTCAGATGCCTGTTGGTCCACGTTTTTGAGGACTAAGCAGATTAACGTAAGTGGCCCCCCGTCAGGCTGTAGGCTTGCGTCCTCAGTGCCATTGACCGGTCCGTGAATATGTAGGTGGCTCATGGCAGTGGTCACGTCTTCTAAGCAAGGGACCCAAAGGCAGGCTTGGGACCTCCAGAGTCCAGGGGCAGTTGAGCAGTGTGTATATTTTACTCACGGGCATAATCATCCCTCTTTCCTTACCAGCCTTCTGAGTTTTGAAATGCGATTTGCTCGTTTTCCCCTTTGTTTCTCTTGGGACCCACCGCCCACAGTAGGATGCATCACAGGCATATGCTTCTCTTTCTTCCCTGAGAGCTAACGTGGCAGGTGGCGGCCTCTTACGCTGTCTTATGCTTTTAATGGTCTGTTTCTGGGCTATAGTGGGAGTGACGGTTCATGAAACATCATCTATTTATATTTATTAGCTGAAAAGTTGAAATTTTGGAGCTCCCTAAGGATAAATATCATAGAAATATCAGGGAATAAGGCATGCATCTATTAAAAATTTGGGTCTCTTGAGAGAAACCTTGAAACCAGCTACTTTGCCTCTGGTAAGTCCCCAGTTCCTTAATAGTTTCCCTCTATATCACTAATTCCTTTATATATTCCCCATGTGTGTATGTACCTGTGTGTGTGTGTGTGTGTGTGTGTGTGTGTGCGCGCGTGTGTGTGTGTGTATAAAATTTGTCCCATGTCAGTTTGTGTACTTAAACCATTTGATTCTCTTCCACCTCTCACCCTTGGAGGAAGAGGTTTTTTTGTTTGTTTCTTTTCTTACTAGATTGTAAATTGCTCAAAACTTGGAATCGTTCATCGTATTCCTCACAGTATTGGTACATTGATAGATTAGCATCTGTGTGATGAAGGACAGAACTTGACATGTCTCATTTGGAAAGTTCCTGGCTCAAAGTAGGTGCTAAAATGTTTGTCAAATGAATGAATTATTATTATAAGCCAGAAAATTATTACCAAGTGGAAATATGTAACAGGCTGTTCAGAGAGAACAACTTACATTAAATGACCAGTTCTGGCTTCCTGGGAGTCATTTTTTTTTTTTTTTTTTAACTCTGATCATTTCTTTGGTTTCTTTCATTTAGTCCTTTTTTAAAAAAATTATATGAGTAGTCTGTGTTCAATGTCAAACATTTAGAAAGTAAAAATAAACATAAAGAAAAAAGAAAGTCATAATCCCACCACCCCGAAACAACATTTTGGTGTATATACTTTCAGCTTTTGTTTTATGCAGGCATATACTTATTTATTTTCTCTTACAAAATTACGAGCTCGTGTTTTAGAAACACATATGCATTCAGTCATAGAGGTATTTTTTTCCCTAAACGTTGAGTTCGCGGATCCTATCTCTCTGTTCACATCTGCCGAAAAGAGTTGCCTTTCCCATCCCTTTCCTCCCGTTTTCCCACCAGCTCGCTCTCACTAGACTCTCACTCCGTCAGTTTTTGACTGTTTGCTAAATCCAGCAGTCACTTCTCAGCTCACATTTACTTGACCTGTCAGAAGCGTTCGAACTATTTTTTCTCCCTTTCTTTTGGCCTCTGCTTCCCCTCCCACCTGCCTGCTGGGCCTGCTCAGTTTTCTCCGCCCCTCCATTTCTCTGCCACTAAACGTCGTCATTTCTCGGCTTCAGACTTTAGACTTCCCGTCCACACTCCTTGAGTGATCCAGTTCCGCCTCATGGTTTTAAACACTGTCTGTACACTCGCGACTCCCAAATGTTATCTCTAGATCAGACTTCTCCTCCACTCAGATGTCTAATAGACATTTCAAACTTAATCTAACCCAAACCAATCTCCCGGTATCTATTACCCACAGCAGACAACTGCTCCTTCTCTAAGTCGTTAAGTGGCAGTTTGGCAGTGAAAGCCAGAAACGTGGAGCTCATTTGCAGTTTAAGTTCTCCGGAGGCCAGACCGAGACAAGGATTAGCAAGCATGAGCTCGGGACGGAGTGCTCCTAGGTCCACAGCTGTGCCCGGGAGGAAGGACAAAGGAGAGGGGCAGTTGAGGCTGCGGTGCAGCCCTAACAAAGGCTCGGCCTGCCGGGCGGGGAGCTTGGAAGCGCAGATGGCTCCCGGTGGTTGTCCCAGGCTGGGCCAGGGAGCCATGAAACTGGGCCAGTGTCATCACCTGGGAAGCGGCTGTAGACTGAGCCCTGAGTAACTGCGAGGGTTTTACCCGCATGTCAGCCCATTGTAAGAGACGGCCCTAGGAACTGGGCAGGACCCGACTTTTTCAGCCAAGGCGGCCAGAGTTTGACAACCGAGCGCTACCCGCCAGTGGCCACCTCTGTCCCAGGCGTAAGTCACTTCCGAAGGGGGACCTGCCAGCGTATAACAGGGTTGACTACATCGGCTGTCATTCCTCTCCTTTTCTCATGTCCCATATTTAGTCCCCCGAGCACTTGTTAGTTTAGCTTTCAGAACACAGCCAGAACCGAACCCCTGTCCCTGCTCCTCTGCCACCACGCCGCCCCGCGCCCCGTCGCCGCCCCGTGCCCCGTCGCTGCTCGACTGCGGTGTCGGTGCGCCCTCCTCACTCGTCTGCTGCTTCTCTCACGCCTTTCTTTCTGTCCTCTCAAATTCTGTTACTCCGGTGCCCTTGCCGCTTCTACCACTGATGATAAGATCCCGAATCGCTTCCGTTGTTCACAAGGCCCTCCACAGTCTGGCCCAGTTACCTCTCCAGGACCCTGTCCTCGCCGGCTCCTCCCCAGCCACGCTGACCTTCCAGGCCAGTGTTTTGGCCTCTGTTGGGCCCCCGCCTGCTGTCCCGACATCCTTGCCACTTTGTCAGTTCCTCCACCTCTTTCTCTATTAGCCAGTCTGCCAGCTTAGAAGATGTCTGTCATATCAGCATTAAACGACTTGGTCAAGGTCATCCAATGAGAAACTTACTGCGGGACCTAGAAGAAGCTCAAGCCTTTTGCTTCTACCGCTCTCTTATTCTTTCCGTTTTATCACAGTGTAGAAAAATTATCGTATTTGAAAGTGAAAAGAATTGTTCGTGTTTTTGAAGTGTCCATCTTGGGAATGGTATCTTGTAAAGGATCAGCATTTAGTGCTTTTTTCTCCCCCATAATTTTAAGTTGACTTTAGTAAAGTGCATTCATTGCTCTTACTGCTGATATGGGATGGGATTGAGGTCATGCCACCTCATACATGCAACTAATTATTTTTCGTTCTTTCTTTTCCCGCACAGAGCCTTTCATCCTACTATAAAGGAGGATTTGAACAGAAAATGAGTAGGCGTGAAGCTAGCCTTATTTTAGGTGTAAGGTGGGTGTGCTGCATAAATGTTATTTTGTTCTGTGGCCAAGCATGTTTGAAAAAGGAGAAAATGTTGTAGTAAAATTATCCGTATGTTTTAAATTATGAATAGGAAGCAGAGGAGAAATATTACATTTTTACATTTTAAAATCTCAAATATAAGAGAATATCTTACTCATTAAAAAAAAAACAGGCAAAGTTGTGATATGTCTTTATTTCTTACCAAGGAGCTGCTGTATTTCAGTATGAACGTTTCAAAGCAATTATCAGAATATCTCTTATTATGACACTGATTTCTTTCTATCTAGAAAGTTTTAAAGTTTTTAATTCTTTTTTATTTTTTACTTTTCAATTAGAGTTGACATTTAGAGTTTGGCATCTAGCATATTTTGTTGTACTTGTTTCACCTTAATATTTATTGTCTAACTTTGGACAGTAAAGGAGAAAGTTAACGATACTGTATGATTGCTGTGTGACATCATTTAACATTTAAAGTTAAGAATACTTTTCTGCCATAGATTATCACCAGTAGCTATATTCATTTGCTTATCTTATGTTCCTTTAGAGCCTATTCAAATTTTTGTGGGAATTAGGGATAGTATGTTATTTACAATAAATCTGGTGATTTGATCAACACGATTAAGTAGAATAGATCATAAAATCCAATATTGACATAATTTTTTAAATCCCTTATAGACTAGCAGATTTTTAAGGCCAAAACTTTTTATTTCTTATGACTTAGCAAGCAAAACAAAAGGGGCGGGGAAAGAAGAAAACAGCTCAGGTGCTTTATTTAAATGGAAGAGATGAGATCTGTCTTGAGAATAGAAAAAGGGGACTGATTTTAAGTGGTGGGATCAAATTAGGAAGGTACCTGCGTTTCTAACTGTTACTCTTATTATCGCACGAATATTATTCAGAAAAGCATTGCCATTTTTCTTGAACTTTTATTGGGCCCCATAACACCCCATTCATAGTCTTGAAACGTGAATATGAAACACATTATAAAGCTAGACACAAATGTTTTCGAGAATATCGTTTACCATCATCAAGACACTGTGATTGTTAGAACAGATAATCAGAAGTTGACGTAAGGTACACTGAGGTGCATGGTTATAAAGCTTTGTCCCATAACTGGAAGCTGTACAAAATTTCACAAGGAAAATTCAGTGGTTAAGAACACACACTGATACTAAGTGGGTACAAAGACCAGCTTTACCACCTGCGAGACCTCAGTTTTATCATTTGTAAAATAAAGGTAATATTAGTTTCCACTGGATAGGGTTGTTGTGAAAATTAACCCACATGAGATTCTTGACATAACCGTGCACTTAGTAACTGCTCAATAAATGTGAGCTGGCAGAACAGATCCCTATCCTGATCACTGAGGAATTGCATCGTGGGGTCTTGGTCAGGTTTTTCTGGACTTTTCTGCACTTCAGTTTCTTCATTTTTGAATCGGAATGGATAACATCCAGGCTTATTAGGATAATATAAAATGACATGGCGATACTTTTTCGTGAAAATGCCTGCCACAAACAGGCGCTGTGTCAACACTGGCTCCTCATCCTTTTCATCTCCATCGTCAGTGCAGAAGCTAAGTACTTGTCCTTAACACATGAAATAGAAGAATAAAGCTTACTTGCTTTCCTTAGCTCTTTTTCTTAGTCAGGCAGTATTGATTTTGAGAAGATTCTTCAAGATGTGGGTACATTGCTGTGGTTCCATTTTCTGCGGCCAATGAATCTAAACCACTTAGACTGATGAACAAGTCGGTAAAGGCAAAGCGGGGCCACCTCTGTTAACAGTGTATAAAAAATACTCTGTGTGCTGCTAGGTGAGCCTAAACTCTTACATGTTACATAAAGCCTAAAATATTTTACTACTCAAGAAAACTGTTGTTATACCCGGTGTTTTCTGAAATGATGCACATTTGCGATGTTCAAACTTTCTACAAGCTTCTGTGGAATTCTGTTTAAACTAAATGTTATTCAAAAGACCAATAGTAAAAAAGATGAAACCAAAACTGCTCCATTAGCCACAGGACTGGGGAACCCACTCTGTCCCACACTACCCTCTCCCCAACGCCCAGCCAAGTGCAGTCCAGGGAGCACGGTTTGAAATCTCACGTCTAGGCAGCAGGATATTTAAAGTTACATTTTCAGTTGCAAGGTGAACTTGTATACACCGGAACTACATTTATTTTTATATTACATTTAAGAACTAGGATTCTCCCATCTTGTTTAAACCTGACAACAGACAGATGTATTAAAATGTATTAGGGTCCTAGAGATTTAAAGAAAAGGGAATAAACTGCAGGCAAAGGAGAACACTTTTTTCATCCCCAAAGCTCACCAGTAGGCGTCCGATCATTCTTGTCTGAAAGGCAGGAGGTTCTGAGTGGCTGCACGTGTGCATGAACTTTCCTGTATCTCTGACTTCCGTCTGGTTCAGTGGCCAGCAGGTGTGTGATGCTTATGGAGTTTTATGTGCAAACCCCTTAAGATAGTTATTTAAATATATTTTGTTTAGAATTTTTTTTTAATTTAAAAAATCTCCCCGGTTTTATTGAGATATAATCGACATTGAACACTGTATATTAGTTTAAGATATACAACATAATGATTTGGTGTATGTACGTTGCAAAATAGTATCACACAATAAGTTTAGTTAACATCCTTCGCCTGACATAATTATAGATTTTTTTTTTTTCCTTGTGATGAGAACCTTTAAGATTGATTCTCTTAGCCGCTATTAGCTGTAAAGAAGCGTCGCTGACCACAGTCACCGTGCTGTGTGCTCCATCCCAGGACTTCTTTATGTTACAGCCCTAAGTCGTGCCTTTTGGCCACCTCTGTTCCTTTTGCCGCCTCCCGCCTATCACCGGCATCCACTAATCTGTTTTCTGTTAATATGAGTTCGGCTTTTTTAGATTTCACGTAGAAGCAGGATCGTGCAGTATTTGTCTTTGTCTGTCTGACCTATTTCACTTAGCATATTGACCTTGAGATCCATCCATGTTGTCACAAATGGCAAGATTTCTCCTTTTATGACTGAATCATATTCCATTTTACATATATAAGTGTGTACCACATTTTCTCTATGCCTTCATCTGTCAGTGGACATGTAGGCTGCTTCTGTGTCTTGGCTCTTATAAACAGTGCTGGAATGAACATGGGGGTGCAGATATATATCTCTCTGAGATAGTGATTTCATTTCCTTTGGATGTATACCTTGAAGTGGAATTGCTGGATCACGCGGTAGTTTTATTTTCAATTTTTTGAGGAACGTATATTTTATCTATAGTGGCTGCACCAGTTCACATGCCCACCAACAGTGCACGAGGGTCACCTTTTCTCCACGTCCTCCCGACACTTGTTATCTCTTGTCTTTTTGATAACAGTCATTGTAACAGGTGTGAGGCGACATCTCATGGTGGATTTGATTTGCATTTCCCTGATGATTAGTGATGCTGGGAAACATCTTTTCATGTACCTGTTGGCCATCTGTGTGTCATCTTTGGGAAATTGTCTTTTCATTTTTTTAATTGGCTTGTTTTTCTGATTTTAAGTTCTGTATGTTCTTTATATACTTTGGATTTCACCCCTTTTTGGACATATGATTTGCAAATACTTTCTCCCATTCAGTAGGTTGGTTGCCTTTTCATTTTGTTGATGGTTCCCTTCACTGTGGAAAAGCTTTTTAAATTGATGTAATGTCGTTTTTTTATTTTTGCTTTTGCTAAGGAGACTGGTCCCAAAAATATTACTAAGGCTGATGTCAAAGAGTTCACTGCCTATGTTTTCTTCTGGGAGTTTTATGGTTTCAGGTCTTATATTTAAGTCTTTATTCAATTTTGAATTTATTTTTGTAAATGGTATAAGATAGGGATCCAGTTTCATTTTCTTTTTTGCATATAGCTATCCGGTTTTTCCAACACCATTTATTGAAGAGACTGTCTTTCCTCATTGTATATTCTTGCTTCCGTTGTCATAGATTAATCGACCATATTTGCATGGGTTTATTTCTAGTCTCTATTCTATTCCGTTGATCTGTGTCTGTTTTTATGCCAGTATCATACCGTTATAATTACTAGAGCCATGTGCTATAGTTTCAAATCAGGGCGCATGAAACCTCCAACTTCGTTCTTCTTTCTCAAGATTGCTTTGGCTGTTTGGGGTCTTTTGTGGTTCATGAAGATTTTAGGATTCTTTGTTCTCGTCTGCGAAAAATGCCATTGGTATTTTGATGGATATTGCATTGAATCTGTGATTGCTTTGGGTAGTATGGCCATTTTAACTATATTCTTCTAATCCATGATTACAGTATATCTTTTCATTTATTTGTAAATGGGATTTTTAAAAATTTTCTCTTTTTGATCGTTATTAATGTTTAGCAACACAACTGATTTGTCTGTATTAATTTTGTATCCTATGACTTTTCTGAATTCATTTATTATTTCTCTTAGTTTTTTAGTGGCATCTTTAAGGCTTGTTTTTCGTGTGTGTGTGTTTTGTTTTTTCTTTTTTTAAGTATCATGCTATCTGCAAATAGTGACAGTTTTATTTCTTACTTTTCAATTTAGATGTCCTTCCTTCCCTTCTTTCTTCCTTCCTTCTTTCCTTCCTTGCTTTCTTCCTTCCTTCCCTCCCTCCCTTCCTCACTCCTTCCTTCCTTCCTTCCTTCCTTCCTTCCTTCATTCCTTCCGTCCTTCTTTTCTCTATCTCTCTCTCTCTCTCTCGCTCTCTCTCTCTCTCTCTCTCTCACACACACTCACAGCTGCCCCACCACCTCTTGGTAACCTCCCAGTCCTCAGAAGCACAGATCCAGTGAAAAAAATTTTGCAGGCCTTGTGGCACTTGGAGATAGGGTTCTCTAAATAAAATATCATGTCATCAGCAAATAATGACAGTTTTACTTCTTTCTTTCCAATTCGGATGCCTTTGCTTGATTGGTGTGGCTAGGACTTCCAATACTATGTTGAATGCAAGTAATGAGAGTGGGCAACTTTGTCTTGTTCCTGATTTTAGAGGAAAAGCTTTCAGCTTTTCCCCATTGAGTATGATATTAGTGAGGATTTGTCATGTATCAGGCCTTTATTATGTTTTGAGGTACAGTCCTTCTGTGCCTACCTTGTTGAGAGTTTTTATTATAAAGGGATGTTGAATTTTACCAAATGCTTTTTCCGCATCAATGTAGATTCGATAGGATTTTTATCCTACATTTTGTTAATGTGATGTATCACATTAATCGATTTCTGGATGTTGAACTATTCTTGCATTCTTGGAATAAATCCCACTTGATTATGGCGTGCGATCCTTTTAAGTACTGTTGAATTCTGTTTGCTGATATTTTGCTGGGGATTTTTTCATCTGTGTCCATCAACAATATTGGCTTGTAATTGTCTTTTCTTGTAGTGTCCTTCTCTGGTTTTGGTGTCAGGATAATGCTGAAGCATTTTCTCCTCTTCTATTTCTGGAAGGACTTGAGGAGGATTGATATGAATTCTTCTTTAAATTTGGTAGAATTTAATGAAGCCATCTTGTCCTGGACTTTTCTTTGTTGAGAAGTTCTTGATTCGATCACATTACTAGTAATTAGTTGAGAAATTCTATTTCTTCATGATTCGATCTTGGTAGGTTTTATGTGTCTAGGAATGTTTTCAGTTTTCCTAGGTTGTCCAATTTGTTGGTGTATAATTGTTCATAGAATTCTCTTATAATCCATTGTATTTCTGTGGTATCAGTGTAGTGTCTCTTCATTCATTTCTGACTTTATGTATTTGAGTCCTCTTTTCTTTGTGAGTCTAATAATGGCTTGTCTATTTTATATTTTAAAAAATAGCTCTTAATTTCACTAACATTTTCTATTATCTCTTTAGTCTCTTTTATTTTCAGTCTGACCTGTTATTTCCTTCTTTCTGCTAACTTTGAACTTAGTTTATTCTTCTTTTTCTGGTTCCCTGAGGTATAAATTTAGGTTGTTTATGTGAGTTCTTTCTTTTTTCTTAATGGAGGCACTTAGTGTTGTAAACTTTCTTCTTGGAACTGCTTTGGCTGCATGCCATAAGTTTTACTATGTCGTATTTCCATTTTCATTGGTCTCAAGATTTTTTTTAATTTCTCTTTTGATTTCTTTAACTCAAGGCTTATTTAGTTTATTCATAGAAGAATGTTTTACATGCTTATTCAGCAATAGATAGTGCATTTTGACATGCTTGGTGATTTGTTCTTTAATCCTAAGAGGTTAGAATTAGCAAGTAACTGGCAAGGAACCCCTAGAGACTGGGGCATTGGCAGAGCTAAGGACTGAAACTGGCAGCAAAGGAGGCAGGGTTCAAAACAGAGAGAAGAACTTAAATGACTAGCATTCTATGACCATTTAGTAAAAGGGCAGGCAAACCTCAGCAGACCTTAACAGTTTCTTTGTACTTAACTGATACTCATAATAAAGCTTTGAGTCATCAAAGAAGTGTTAAATTAGGTTATTTATATTCCATTTTAAGACTGGCGAGTATATAATACATTTTCATAAGCATCCTTCATATTTATAATAATTATCATTCCTTGAACGCTAACTGTATGCTAGGTTATACTTATTCTTTACTTATATTATCTCATTTATCCTTAAAATAATCTGGGAAGTAGTTTTATCATCTCCATTTTACATATGAGAAAATTATAACTAAGGGAGTTTAAATAGGCAAAACAAAGTTATATAGCTCATGAGTGGTGGAATCAGGATTTTGAACCTCTATCTGAATATCTCTAAAAGTACTTGCTTTTATCCATTCTGGTGTGAATCATCTATACAAATTAAATTATTTTGAATTTCACAGCAACCACCTTGTACTTCGTCAGGTACTGTTGTTCCCATTTGAGGCCAAGAAAAGTTAAGCGCCTTAGATAAGATAACTCTTAAGTAGCAATCCTAGGATTTTGTCGTTGTTAGTGTTTGTTTGTTTGTTTGTTTTTCTTGCCTAGAAAAATGTACTAATGAGAAACATTTCCAACACTGGATAAATTAGGTTTTACAAAAATAATATTATATTTATTTAGCTTTCTTCTTTAATTTTTGTTTAGAGCATAGATTCTAACAGCCAAGCTTTTCCCATAGGGTTCTCACAAAGTTAAATAAATTATGAGCTATGAAATGTTTTGAGATGCTGTGTTGAAACACAATAATAATAAAGCTAACGATTATGGAACACTTGTTACATGCCAGGCACTGTTTTAGCACTTTGTTGGCATTAACTAATTTAATCCTTACAATTGCTCTACGGGGAATATTTTTTTCCTAGCTATAGTTTGTAATGAGGAAACAAGCACAGAGAGGTTAGAAAGTTGACCAACGTTGCTCCATTTTAAATGGTGATGGGATTAGAACCCAGCAGTCCTGTCGCTCTGGAGCCCAAACACCTGTCTGTCAAACTGCATATACTGCCTTTACCCAAAACCATTCGAAGCAAAATATTTCAGTATGGTCTACAGACTGTCACTCCCCAACCCTCTGTATTGTGCTTTAGTTTTTAAATTGATTGAAAGTAAAGACTGGTATTATAAAGGACTGAAGAAAAGTACATGCAGCATTGAATCAGTGATTTATTTTGATGGTTACTGGACTTCAGTGACAGGCTGTAATTTCATATTTATCCACAAGATGGTGAAATTCTCATTAGTTATTAATTTCTTGAAATCCATATAAACCATTAATTTATAATCTGCATTTGACACCATTTATTATAAGCACTTTAATTTCTTTTTACAGTCCATCTGCTGGCAAGGCTAAGATTAGAACAGCTCACAGGAAAATCATGATTTTGAATCACCCAGATAAAGGTAGGTAAAATTCTTACTTTTCATAATATCTGGATCAGAATCGGCTCTGAATTCCTTTTGGTTTGCTTAAACTCATTATAAATGATTTATACTTGAGATGGAAGTTTATATGCCACATGTATTGTGATTTTTCTTCTAATAAGTGAGGCTTTAGATTGGAGTTCAGTGACCCACAGAAGTGGTGGATTTATATGATCGGCTTTGAAGAACCTGGTTACTGATTTTTATGTGTGACTACCACAACCCCGTTTGAGGCTCCTAGCATTTTCATTGAGAAAGAGAAAGCGTGAGCTGTGGACCACCTGAATCTATAAACTGACCTGGGCGTCGTGCATTATGTTTGTTTAACCTTAAACATAACAGCACAAGATTTAGAGGTTATCTCTAATCTCTGAATATAATATGTCACAGATGATGCCGAATGTCTTAATTTTATTCTGGAAAGCTCTGAGACTGAGCCATTTATTTTTAACTGGCCAAGTTTTTAATGTAAATTTATCTTAGAGAAAGACAATTATTATAACTTTAACTACACTGCAGCTGCTGGAGAGAGAAAGCCCATATGTTCATTACTGTTTCTGCCTTAGAATAACAGATGGTAGGAACTTGCACTGTATTTCAGAAGTCAAGGTAGAGGGTGGGGGGAGGGATTCTTATTTATAGACTTTCCGTTTTATAATTATTCTGAAGAAAACTGAAAACAAATTTTGGATTCCTACCCATCGTAACCCTCACCAAAATAAGACGCTCCCCCTCCGCCAGCTTTCTCACTTAATTACTTACTCTAAAAATTCTTTTTACTAAACATCATCTCCTTTGGTGTTTGCACTTGCTGTTCTTTCGTGTGAATAAACAAAGGAATAAACTTTGAAATGAGATTTTACTTAAAATTTCTAAATAGCCGCGGCAGTCACTGAAAGGTCCAGGCAGCCAGTTTGCTTCGCGCCGTGGGCTGGCAGAGCAGCCGCCTCGGAGGGAATCGTGGCAGGTGCCTCCTTGCAGGCGTCTGTCCCCTAAACAGCCTCTGTCCCTTCCAGCTCGGGTGTGTGCCCTTCCATTATCGATCGCAGTGGGATCAGGCACTCATGCTTTCAGACGATTGACAGGTTATCGATTGTGCCTACTGGCAAGGAAGCAAGTTCTAAAACGTATCTAAACGAATATGTATTTTTAGATCGCTTCAGTAAAAAAAGAAAATGTTTATACATCTTATGAGCCAGTAGCGTTTGAATTAATCAATTACTTGGTTTATTCTGAGACTGTTTACTTATCAGAGGCAGATCGTTGCCTTCCTGCCCTGTGCGTGCTCACAGCCTTCTGTCTGGCCCCCTGCGGGTGGCAGGGTGTGAGGGAGGGACCTGGAAGCAGGCGGCCAGCATTTTCCTCCAACTTCTGCCTTCTAGCTGGCAGTGACCTTGAACACTCTCCTCAGCCTTTCCAAATGTCAGTGTTATCATCTACAAAACGAGACGATTTATTTCTAAAGCCCTCTTTGATTATATGATGTGATGTAATATCTTTATGGCCTGTTTAATTAAAGAACCGGTAGCCTATATTTCTATTCAGATCACATTTTTAATTTAATAAAGATGCTTTAATCTTTTTGGATTATTGTTCTCTCTAAGAATGTGTTGACAACCACAGACATTTTGCCAATATTATTGCTCATTCACCCCAAATTTTTAAATATTTGGATTTTTGGAGAGTTCCTGACTTCTAAAACCCATTTGTATACTCACAGTTAAGAGCGTCTGCTCTGGGAAAAATATGGTAAATTAAGGAGTATCGGAATGACTGCAAGGAAAGAATTCTAAACAGAAGTGTCTTATTGTCCTTGGAGAGAGAAAGCTGGGGTGTTTGGGGAAGTATGAGAATGTCCAATTCTTTTTTTTTTTTTAATTTTTCAATTACAGTTGACATTCAGTATTATATAGTTTCAGATGTACAGCATAGTAGTTAGATATTTATCTAACTTACGAAGTGATCCCCCCAATAACTCTAGTACCCACCTGACACCACACATAGTTGTTACAATATTATCGACTCTATTCCCTATGCTGTGCGTTACATCCCTGTGACCGTTGTGTAGCTGCCAATCTGTACTTCTTGATCCCTCCATCTTTTTCACCCAGCTCTCCAAACCCCCTCCCATCTGACAGTCACCAGTTTCTTCTCTGTATCTATGAATTTGTTTCTGTTCTGTTTGTTCATTTTGTTTTTTAGAGTCCACATGTAAGTGAAATCATATGGTATTTGTCTTTCTCCGTCTGACTTATTTCACTTAGCATAATGCCCTCTAGCTCCATGACAATGGGCAACTCTTAATTTTGCCTCCTCTTTTTATAATTCTTCGTCATGTTTGCTCTGTCTGGATCAGCACTGAGTGTTACAGGTGGTTGCAAAAACTTAAGTCCTCTATCCAGTGCTTCTGAAATTCACAAATGTTCCCCAACCCCTAAGTGATTTTCTATTGGTTTTGCTACCTGCTGCTAGAATAAAGTTAGAACTTCAAACATGAGATCAACTGTCATTTGTTACACATTTCATTATCAGCTTGTGCAAAGGAAGTGACACTAGAAAATTAAGTGTGAGAAATGGCCGAAAATGAATTTTTTTTGTAACCAGTTTCAAATGAGCATTCAGATGTGTTTTGAGAAAAAGGAAATTTTGCTATTTCAATTTAGTAAGATAAAAGGTTAATGCAGTAAAAAAATCTCAGGTCGTTGATCTAGTGCTTTTAGACTAATATCTTTTAGATTATATGTTGTTTAATTGCTGAAGAAGGAGGTTAGTTGTTATGAAATCTGTACTTTGATGTTAATGCCCAATGATGATAGAAAGGAGAACAGGCTAGGCAAATTCGAAAAGCTAGAGGACCTCAGAGATCTCTCACAGGCTATCTCGTCCACTCAGAGTGTGGGTCACGCATCCGTGCCAGACACTGCTGTGTACATGCACCAAGTTAAAAACAGAGCTCAAAAGGAAGCATCTAGAAACCTTTATAGTGACTTGACCTTGCCGCGGCAACCAAGGTGTGATACTTTTGTATTTTGTAAAAGTATCAGTTCACCATAGATTGGAAAATTTTTTTAAAAAACATGTGTCCTCACCATATTTTGAGAGAAAATGATCTCAATCAGTACCGCCTCCTAAATCAAGACTATTTCTGCTCTCTCCTGGGAAAAATGGCCTGTTTGCTCTCCGTTAAGATTTTTAGCGATGAAGAGCTTCCTGTTTTGCAAGGCAGCCCACTGGTAGGCAGCTCTAACTGCTAGAAGGTTCTTCCTTACGTTCAGCTGAAGTCTGCCTGCCTGCAGCAGATTCTCAATCTTTTTCTATTTATGCTCTCTTTTACTAAACATATTCTCACTCTTCGTTAATAGTATTTAAATCAAAATTAGGCTAACTATTGGGATTAAAAACAAATCAAAAGTAATTATACTGTTGAATGGATTTTCTCTGATTACTCTCATTGTAAAAGAAGCCGAATTTGACACGAAGCCCTGGGGATAATATATTACAGTTTCTTATAATGTATTACGTTTAAAAGATGAATTGTAAACATTTAGAAAAAGAAAGATATGATCACCAAGAGTCAACATGGATTCACTAAAAAAAAGTCATGCTTAATTAGCTCTGTTTCTTGTTTAATAGATATACTAAACTTATTTGTTTCAGAGGGTTCATCTTTCCCTTCTACCTTTTAATTAAATTTAAGGCTTTGTATTTGAGTTGTTTTTTTTCTTTTTTGGTAAAGAGATCATTTAGTTTTATCACATTGATCTTTCTTAATAAATAGTGAGATCTTTAAAAGTGAAGAACATGACTTAGTCAAATTTATAACCTGTTTGGCTGACATTTAATAAAGTCCAAAGGTTTTTGTTTTTTTTTTCCCATGAATGAATGAATAAGCAAATGGATAAAAAGAAGGCATACAAATAACATTTGTGGGTGAAATAGAATTAGGAGTGAGAACTCATACATAATGATCACATGAAAATTTTAAAAGACTTGTTGAATTGATATGAATCGATCGATCTGAAATTATTCTTTTATTGATTCAGAAACTATTTATTCAACTTCTATAATGTGCCAGACCTTGTGCAAAACCTTGGGACTTTAACTGTAAACTAGATAACTAGATCCTTGTTCTCATCGAGCATACATTCTAATGGGGAGACAGACGAAAGACAAGTAAACCTGTTTCAAGTTGTAGTAAGCGCAGTAAAGGGAACAATGGAGTAAGATGCAGAATATGCGGAAGAGGCAGCTTTACATAGGGTGATGGGAAGGCTTCTCTGAGTAACTTAAAGAATGAGAAGAAGCCAGCTGCGTTGTGTTGTAGTCAAGGAGCTAGCACGTGCGGAGGCTTTAAGGGGGCAAGAGTTTATTACGTTGCAGACTTCACAGGAACCGGGTGCGGTAGCTATGTGATAGGCGAGGGGAGAGGTGGCATGGCAGAGGGTGGCGCCCAGGTTTTGAAAACTATGGGTGCGCCTCGTGGTAATGAAAACCGTAGGTTCCGTCTAATATTCGAGCTTTATTCTAAATATAGCGGGAAGTTACTGTCTGCTTTTAAGCAGTAGAGTAATGTAATTCGATTTATTTTTTAAGAAATTTCTTTTCTCTCCAATCTCTTGATTTTTTAAAATTTTTTAAAGTGAGGCATTAAGTTTTATTGTTGAGTTATCTGTTTCCATCTTCATTTCTGTAAGTTTTTGTTTCATATATTTTGGTGCTCTGTTGTTAGGTACATATATGTTTACAGTTGTTCTATCTCCTTAATGGATTGACCCTTTTACCATTAAATTGTCCTTTTTTATGTCTAGTAACATTTTTTATTTCAGTCTGTTTTGACTCATCGCTTTTCTGTGATTGCTGTTTGTGTGAAATATCTCTTTATAGTCTTTTACTTTCAATCTGTTAGTGTCCCGTAGACAACTTATAGTTAGATCATGTTTTTAAGTTTAATCTGACAACCTTTTGATTGGTTGGATTGT